AATAACAGAAATTTTTGACTTCCCCATGGTTTCACAAAAATTGCTCTAAAAAAACCTTTGAAAGATAATCACAAGCCAAACTGTGCATTTGAAAGAAAGAGGATGTACCTTCTCAATAAAAATAAAACAAGTGTCAAAATGAAATGTCAGCGATATCAACTGCCTAACTTAGTACTTAAGGAAATAGGACATTTCATACTTAATAACCTAATAATATTTATTTATAGAAATTCACTTTGTTGTTTTTCAAATCTGCTACATCATTTAAAAATATTTTAAGGCCGGGCGCTGTGGCTCATGCCTGTAATCCTAGCTCTTGGGAGGCCGAGGCGGGCGGATTGCTCAAGGTCAGGAGTTCAAAACCAGCCTGAGCAAGAGCGAGACCCCGTCTCTACTATAAATAGAAAGAAATTAATTGGCCAATTGATATATATATAAAAATTTAGCCGGGCATAGTGGCGCATGCCTGTAGTCCCAGCTACTCGGGAGGCTGAGGCAGAAGGATCGCTCGAGCCCAGGAGTTTGAGGTTGCTGTGAGCTAGGCTGACGCCATGGCACTCACTCTAGCCTGGACAACAAAGGGAGACTCTGTCTCAAAAAAAAAAAAAAAAAAAATATTTTAAATTAAATACAATAAAATTCACTTTTTGGTGTACATAGAGTTACATAATTATCACCATAATCAAGACATAGAACTGTATCATCACCCCCAAAATTTCTACATGCTGCTCTTTCGCAGTCAAAACCCCTGGCAGCCACTGATAACTGCTCTGTCCCTATAGTTTTGAATTTTCCAGAATGTCATATAGAATGAGTCATACAGCACGCAGACTTCTGATTCTGGCTTCTTTCACTCAACACAGCACATAGGAGACTCATTCATGTTATATCAATCAAGAGTTTGCTCCTTTTAACTGCTGAGTGGCATACCAATTGTATGGATTTATCAGTTTGTTGAACCATTTCAAGCAGTTGAAAGACATTTGGGTTCTTTCCAATTTTTAGCAAGTATGAATAATGTGGCTATGAGCTTTGGTGTAAACGTAAGTTTTCATTGCTCTTAAGTAAATACCTACGAGTGGGATTGCTGGGTCATAGGCTAAGCGTATGTTTAACTTTATAAGAAATTGCCAAAATGTTTTCCAAAGTGACTATACCATATTGCATTTCTATCAGCAATGAATCCTCACCAGCTCTTGTTGTTGTCAAGGTTTTTTGTTTTTTTTTTTTAGACATTCTAATAGGTGTGTAGTGGTATCTCATTGTAGTTCTAATTTGTATCACCTAATGGTTATAGATGTTGAGTATTTCTTCATGTGTATCTGCCATCTGTCCATCTTCTTAGGTAAAACATCATTTAAAATCTTCTGCCCATTTTGTAACTGGGTTGTATTCTTATTTTCGAATTTTGCAAGTTCTCCATATATGCAGGATATAAGTCCTTTATCAAGTGTGATTTATAAATATTTTCTCCCAGTCTGTGACTTGTCTTTTCATTTTCTTAACAGTGTCTTTCATAGAGCCAATTTTTAAATTTTGATGAAGTCCAATTTATCAATTAAATTTTGATGAAGTCCAATTTATCAATTTCTTCTTTTATGGATTCAGGTGTCACATCTAAGAATCCTTGCCCAATGCTATCATAAATATCTTATCCTATGTTTTCTTGTAAAGGCTTTAGAGCTTTACATTTATGTCTGTAATATGTTTTGAGTTAATTTTTGTATAATCTGTGAGATAGAAGTCAATGTTCATTTTTTTAACATATGAATGTCCAATTGTTGAAAATACTATCCTTTCTCCATTGACGTGCCTTTGCAACTTTGTCAAAATCAATTAATCATGTTTTATGGCTCTGTTTTGAGGCTCTATTCTCCTCTGTCTCTGTGCATCTATGCTTTTGCCAATACCACACTGTCTTGATTACTTAGCTTTATAGTAAGCCTTGAATTCAGGTAGTGTGAGTCCTCCAACTTTGTTCTTTTTCAAAATTGTTTTACCTATTCCAGTTCTTTGCTTTTTAATTTAAATTTTAGAATCAGCTTGTCCAAATCTGTAAAACATCCTGCTGGAATTTTGATTTCTTCATCTTTTCTCCACCTCCTCTCCATTCCCAATAGGTTATTTCAAAACAAATAATCCCAGACACTATTATCATTACATCCATATGTATTTGGCTTCTTCCTAAATAACAAAATCTCTGACTCTTCATGAAGATCATATAAATGATTACTTGTCAATATTCCTACCATGGAATATTGAACTAACTGTATCTGCCTTCCATAGTTGACTTTTAAACAGTGCATTCACCATGTCCTAACATATTATTTTGCAATTCAGTCTGGGGAAAATTAACAGCAACACTGAGTCTTTTAATTCATACACATGGTATCTTTTTCCATGTATTTAGGTCTTTGTGAATTTCTTTAAACAATTATTTGTATTTTTCAGTATGTGGATCCTGATTATATTTTGTTCTATATTTACCTAAGTATTTCAATTTTTTGGTATTATAAATGGAACTTTTAAAAATTCAATTTGTCATTTATTCATTATTAGTACATAGAAATACAATTAATTTTTGTATATTGACCTTGTATCTTATAACCATGATAAACTTGTTTAAGAGTTCTGGGTGGTTTTTTTTACATATTTTGTATAATCATGTCATCTGCAAATAAAGATAGCTTTACTTCTTCCTTCCATCTCTATGCCTTTTATTTCTTTTTCTTACCTTATTGCACTGGCAGGGTGCTATGTCACTTTTTCCAGTTACATAGATCTTCCAACATAGTATGCATAGTTGTTTTATACCAGGTATTTGATAATTCTGATATATGATGCCTCATGTGTCTGTTTCTCTTATTTCTGTTGTGTATTAGTTTGCTATTGTTGCTGTAACAAAGTACCAAAAACTGGGTGGCTTACAGAACAGAAATGCATTGTCTCACAGTTCAAGAGTAAGAGGCTGAAATCAAGGTGTTGTTGGCATGGTTGGTTCCTTCTGAGGGCTGTGATGGAGGAATCTGTTCTGTGTCTATCCCGTAACTTCTGGTGGTTTAGTGTTCTCTTTGTATGCATGTTTGTGTCCAAGTTTTCCCTTTCTATAAGGATTCCAGTCATATTGGATTAGGAGTCCACCCAGTAAGATGTAACAAATTACATCTGCAATGACCCCATTTCCAAATAAAGTCACATGAGATACTGGAGACTTCAACATATGAATTTGGGGGGACATAATTCAACCCATAGCATGTTGGTTCTCATTCATGGTGTCCTGCTGCTTTATATGTCTGGTTATCACTCACTATATACTTATCATAGTACTGAAAATATTATTTTCTCTAATAATTTGAAATCTAAATAGAAGGCACCTTCCTTTATAGAACATTGTTTGTTTCTGGAAAGTATCTGGGGTTCCTTCCAGTCTAATAGCACTATTAACCAAGTTCAAGGGTTGAGGTTCTCTGAACTACCCAAGTGATGCAAATTCAAGCTACAAATCTACACAAGGGTTTGTTTACTCCTGGTTTACACTTATTCAGATTTTGCAGTTCCTTGGGCTACCACCTAATTATAGGGAGCATCCTCTATTAGACAGTCTACCTGCATAGGTCTTATACTTTTATACCTGATCCTCTCCCTTACCTTCCACCCCATGAAGACATAAGAATGAAATGCAAAATTTCCAAGACTGGTAAATGATCTAAAGACCAAAGTAGATTTTATGCTCAACTATCTCTCTGGGTTACCATTTGTCTTTCAATTTTGGCCTCATTATTTCTTACTTTTAAAAATCTTTTAAAGAATATTCTTATCTAGAATTTTAAATTTTAAGTAGGAGAGGGTTGATCTGAATAACTTAAGCTCATTATTTGAGAAAAGAATACTTAGTGTCTCTTTTCTAAAACTGATTCTTCATGGTGACCTTTGTAAATATTCAGAACTAGCATTTATTGAAGTTGTTTCAGGCTAATAAAATATTTATTCAAAGAGTACTTTCTTATTTAAAATAAGTAATAATTCAGTGTCCCATAATATGAGAAAATTTGAAAGTGCATTTTTTCTCTGGGCTAACTGAAAACCCTTACCTTATATTTGGGTTTATTTGATATGCATTGAAATATAATAGAGGAAAAGTGGGTCTAACATAGAATATTAAGAAAAACCTATCTATAATATATTAAATAGAGTCATTACTGGAATTAGTATCTGAAGATAGTGGCTAGCAGCTAGGATTTAATACTATTGGAAGCTGTTCCTCCTGAATTGTATCAAAGAAAATAACTACTGGCATTTTGACTTTAAACAAGAGAGAGCTAAAGACCTTTGTTACCAAAATAAGGGGAATATAAATGGCTAATCTAGGGAAAAGGTACCTTGTGGGAAGATCAATTTTTTTAATGTCAATTTTACAACTCTATCAAGACGTAAATAGCACTATGTTTGGAAAACAGTATAAACCAATCACATAATTGGATAACTCTTGCAATGTATTATGGGATGATGATTCATGGGCCTGGAATTTAGCTCAGTAGAGAATATAACAGAGGTCTCCTGAAGGAGAATAAGAGTCATAAAACAGAGGGATCAAAGTCTTGCTTTTGATGTAATTATTTTTATGGATGATCAGGCCGTCCTGTACTTTGCCCAACCTCCTACTGATACCGTTGGTATTTTTAGATGATAAATGAATCCATTTAGTCCCTCTTCCTTCCCTTTCAAGTCACCCAAACATGGGGACACAGTTACCTCCAGGAATGAGGAAAATGAGGTTAAAAGTCTCCATGATTGACAGAGAAGCAAAGAAGCATGGCCTTTGTGTGGCCCTAATTTGTATGTGCCGTCAGTCACAGTGTAAGGGCCCTGGGGGTGTCTGAGCACACTGGGACCTGAACTCCACTCAGAGAACCCCAAAGGCCTGGCTCCATCAGCCCCTGTCCCTCTGCCCCACAACCAAACATGAGCTCTTCCCAGAGCCAGGGGAGTCAGGGCCTTACCTGTGCTGTCCTCTCCAAGGCCTTCTGCGGCCTCCCGAAGCTTAATGTCCATCACCCTCGTGGAAATCATGTCCAGCTCGCTGAAATCAGATGGAAATACATGTTATAGAAACATGTTCAGCAGAAGTTACCAAGGAGTTAAGTGGTGGTGACAACTGCCTTCAGCATGACCTCATCTGCACACACCCCAGCAAAGAGTCCCGGGCAGAGTACAGGACAGTACAGGCCAAACACACATCCACAGCCACAAGTTAGTAACCACACACTCCTTTAATCACTGACCGGAGCAATTTAATGGAAAACAGATCCCTGGAACAAATGCTTCACTAATTTATACAATGCAGATTAGCTTCCCTTTTTTCAAAAAAGTTTTTCTCAAATTGTGGGAAATTATGTGTTCCTCTTGTTTACTATAGAAAGTGTGGAAAATACAGAAAATGAAAACTACTCATAATTCCACCAATGCAGGTTAAGCACAGGTCATTTTTTCATCTCCTTCCAGTATTTTTTCTTTGCAAATATTTTATGTCCATGAACATGCATATTGCATTAGGCAGCTTGACTTCCCGATTTTCTTATTTATACCACATCATTAAAATTCTTCCTAAGTGTTACTTTAATGGCTACATAATATTCTGATATATTGCTGCACCATCATATATTTACATTGAGTTTCTCTTTTGAACTTAATGAAAATTTCAAATAGATACATGAAATGCACTTAACATATGGCTAATCTTGCTTCATCTTTTTCCCCACTCCTACTAGGTTATTTCCAAGCAAATCATCTCAGACACTATTATCATTTCAACCATTTGGATTTGGCTTCTTCCTAAATAAAAAAGTCTCTGACTTTTCTTGGAAATCAAATAAATAACTACTGGTTACTATTCCTGCTACAGAATATTGAGCTGATTGTGTCTCTGCCTTCTATAGCTGACTATTAACAGTATGTTCTACCTACGTGGACTCACACACTATTTATTTAGAAAGCTATTTCTTACTGGTAGTTACTATGAATCCTCATACTTGAAAACAAAGGCTCAAATATTTAATTACCCAATTTATATTTACCACTTGTACACCGCACATAGCAGGAAATGACGGGAGAAACACAAAGAAAATACGTAACAGAGGAAAGGAGTCTCGGGTCTGTGCCAGAGTTGGTTCTACAATTTAGATCTTTTTTAATGTCAACGCCAAAATGTCCATCTTCCCTACCAGCCAATTCCTTAAAAGCTGAAAAAAAACACCCTTCCCCAGCTTCAGTTTTCAATTTTCATACAATTTGGCTTTATAAAAATGTCAGCTCCGCCAAAAATTCTTCATTGGAACCTCACCAAATTTGACTCATGATCATGCTATCATTATATATAAAATGAGGGTTGGACAGATATAATATTTTTCAAATCCTTTACCACTGTTTTAGGCTTCAAAGAACATCACTGCTTCCATTATCTCTGTTCACTGTCAAAGTAACAGACAATGCTGTTAAATAGCAGAAGGATCATACTGGTTCTAGGCTGGTGGCCCAATACAAAGGCCCAGGTGTTCTGAAAGGTCACCCCTCAAACACCCCCACTATGTTAGAGTCAGTCAGCGAGCTCCTGATCCCCAGGTGTCTTCTGCCCAAGGACACTGATGGAGAAGGGGCAGCCACCAGGGCATTCAGGGAGAGGCAATGGGGAAGGGAAATATTAGGAGCAAGAGGGAGTGTGAAAATGGTGAGGGTTGGCTGAGAGACACCAATTATCACCCTGGGTACCACCTCCTAGGGCTGCTACTGAGGTAGAAAGTAGAAGAGGAAGAGCATTCCACAGCTTTAATTTGCAGTTAGCCACAACAACTGCACATGACTCATCAAGCATGCAGCAAATTACCTGAATTATCTCATTTAATCCCCAAGAAATTTGAGTATTCCCCTTGTGGAGATGAGAACATATATTAGGCAATTTATTAACTTGCCCAGGGTAGCAAAGCTGACACCGGCCTCCATACTCATGTTGACTTTACACTCAGCATGGGCAGGTGCTTCCAAGGCCCTGGAATACAGTGACAGATGAGACCCATGTGGTCCCTGCCCCTTGCATGTTCTGACCCAGTGAAGGGGACAGTCCTGAGCTGTCCCCAGAGGAGCTCAAGGGAAGCTGGGGAATTCAAAGGACAGAATCTCCCACTGAAACAGCTCTGCCTGCCAAGCAGCCCTGCCCAGGGTCAAGCCAGGACCCAGAGGCTGACGGAGCCCTGGGAGACCACCCATTGGTCTTGGTCTGAAAGAAGGGATTTGAGACTGCCACGATGTGTCAACTAACCTGAAAAGGATAACACCCTAGAGAAACCAGGATGTTACCCATAAAACGTCCAGTCACCTGTAGCAAATGAAAGCGTCCCTGCTGGGAAGTGCTGGGAACGTGCAGGGGTGTGTGTGGAAGTGTGTGAGAGAGCCCCCAGCGTGGGTGTGCAGCAGGGCACCCCATCCCGCCAAACCTGGAGCACCCCAGAGACTCAGATTTGCTCCTCCCTGGGTTGAAGGATGTGGCTGCAAGAAAGCCACTCAGGGCAGAGGGTTCAGGAGGGCAGGAGAATCAAGGGGTCCCAGTGTCCCCTGTGTAGGTCTTTTCACCTTCCTCCTGGCAGGCAGATGCAGAGAGCACCCCAGACTGTTGAGACTGCCAGCAGACTCATACAGGGAGACGAAGGTCACCCTCAGATGAAGGGACAGCAATGGGCTCACGTCATGTGGGAGGTTTTAGAACCTGCTCATGTTTTATGTCCCAAATGTCTTCACACTAATAATGTGGGGCAGAGGAAAAGGAGCTGAGACTTGGATATCAGGCAGCCCTGGGATTGTTTCTTCACCCCACCTACAGGCACTGGGCCTCATGCATGAAAGGGGGATAAAAATGCTGTGTTTAAATGGGACCCGGACACGGCACACAGCAGGCACCAGCTGAGAACTGCTGTCGGTCAATGCAGCCCATTCTTTGCCGCGTGCTCCTGTCTGTGCACAAACACACCCAAGTATACGTGAGCGACACGCCCCGGCAGCAGGTGAGGTCAGTCTCCTTGAGCAAATGGTTCACCTTAGAGTCACTGTTAAGGTCACGAGGGGACGTCTGCCCTGTGAGAATACAGAGTGCACAGATGGAGAACTGTCCCCTCCGGGTGGACATTCCCGCTGGAAATACCTCACAGCTGTGACAATGACACATTGTCTCTGCTGGGCCCAGTAACCTGCCCTTCTGGACATACATTCCCCACGCCAGGTCAAATTCACAGAAAAGCCAGAAGGAAAACCCCAGTGAGAAAGGCAGCGTTGCAAATACTTGACCTCTCTCAACACGCCTTTTGCGTCTCACATGAAGACAGTGCTTCTCGCTGGAACTCACAGTTCAAGTCAGGCCACCCAGTGGCTCCTCAACCAGGGTCTGCTTTTTCCCCTCCCAACCCCGTTGTCATGACAGCTCCAAGCCCAAGTCAAGGAAAACTTATTCTTCAAACTAAATCTGGACCTGAGAGGTCCCTTCAGGGGTCCTAGTTAACTCACAAGGGTGCTGAGCCTCCAGCCGTCTCTGATGTGCACCGCACTTACCAGTGTGTACCTGGACGCCTACACAATCCAGGGGAGTCCTGCAACCAAAACAGACTCCATGTGGGGCTACCCCACCCCTTCTCTCTCCACCCTGACTGTGACCACAGGCTCTTCGCAGCTTCCAGCAGAATTCCATCATTACTTGCAATTTCTATTGAAAAATTCTACAAAAGTTTGTTCACATGAAGAATGAGAATAGATTTTAATGTGGCATTTCTAAGGTTTCAATCTTATAGTACTGCTGATGCAAAGAAAAGTATGTGTACCCTGGCTGTATGCATCTGCACACATAATTACATATGAAAGCTTTAGTGTTCACCCCTACAGATTGGCTAATTCCACACTAACCGCCAGGCTATGTTCGGACCCCCGTGGAGCCTTTCTTGGCCGCCTGTGCTCTGCTTTCCCGACACCCACCAATGTTGTCATCAATAACTTGTTTGGGAGCTGTTTGCTTAGCATCCCCTTGCTCCCAAAACTGCGGGTTTCAAGGGGTGAGCTCTATGTCTATTATATTCACTGCTCTCTTACCAGGGTCTGGGAAAGTGGCCGAGCAAACAGCTGAACCCAGCACACACGCAGTAACCAACAAACTAGAGCGGCTGCTGGGTGTTAGCATCCTTCAAGATTTTTGAATAGATTTTTAGGGCGGAGCAAGACGGTCAAATAGAAACCTCCAGTGATCATCCACCTGCACGAACACCTAATGCAACAACTATCCACACAAGCAAGCACCTTCTTGGCAGGGCGCAGTGGCTCACACCTGTAATCCTAGCACTGTGGAAGTTTGAGGCAGGAGGCTCGCTTGAGCTCAGGAGTTCCAGACCAGCCTGAGCAAAAGAGAGACTCCATCTCTACAAAAAACAAACAAACAAACAAAAGCAAGCACCTTCAGAAGAACCAAAAGTCAGGTGAGCGATCACACTACCTCATTTTAACATTATGTCAAGGAAAAGGCACTGAAGAGGTCAGAAAAGACGATCTTGCATGGCCTACACCACCCCTCTCCCACCCCCAGCAGTGTGGCATCAGCACCTGGAGTGGAGAGAGAATCTGTGTGCCTGGGAGAGGGAGCCTTAAGTGATCGTGGGGCTTCGAGTTGAAACTCAGGGCTGCCCTGACACAGGGCAGAACTCTGCTGGTGCCCATGGAGGGAGCATTCTGATCAGCCGGGCCAGAGGGAAATCCTCCAGCAGAAGCCCGAGTTCCTGCTAACCCCACCACCGACTGACAAAAACAGGCTGGGGCTTGGACTAAATTAACAAGGCAGTTGGGCCACAAGGGCTGCAGTCCTTGGGTAATTCCTGTGGCTGTGCTGGTGGGAGCCAGTGAACCTGGGGTGCACGTGACCCAGTGAGGCACCAGCAGCTGCGGCCGAGCCAGTGCCTGTGTCACCCCTCCCCCAACTCCAGACAGTGCTGCTCAGGGAGAGTCTTCTTCCACTGGAGGACAGGCAAGGGAAGAGCTCAGAGGACTTTGTTTTGCAATTTGGGTACCAGCTCAGCCACAGTAAAATAAAGTACCCAGCAAACTCCTGAAGCCACTGAATCTAGGTCTGAGTTCCTGCATGGCATTTCTGGACCCACCCTGGGCCAGAAAGAAACACACTGCCTTGAAGGGAAGGACCCAGACCTGGCAGGATTCACCACCAGCTGATGAAAGAGCACTTGGGCTTTGAATAAACATCAGAGGTAGCCAGGCAACAGTCACTACAGGCTTTAGGTGAGACTAGGCTGGCTTTAGGTGTGACCTGGCACTGGTGACCACAAGGGAGTGCCCACGTCACTCTTCCCCCAACTCCAGCAACCCAGCACAGAGAGTGAGGGAAGAAGAGTGAGAGACTTTGCCTGGTAATCCAGGGAATTCTCTTGTATCTTACCCAAGTCCACCAAGACAGTACCACCAGGAGTCTGCAAGAGTCACAGCAGCACTGGGCTTGGGGTGTCCGCAAGGGCTGATATGGCTACAATGACCAGAGACTTACACCACAACACTCAATTCCCTTTGAGTATCTGGAAAGCCTTTTCAAGAAGGACAGGTTCAGACGAGCCCAGACTATGAAGATTAAAATAAATACCTAACTCGTCAATGCCCAGACATCAACGAACATCTATAAGCATCAAGAACATCCAGGAAGACGTGACCTCACCAAATGAACTAAATGAGGTACCAGTAGCCAATCCTGGAGTGATGGAGATGTGCGATGTTTCAGACAAAAAATTCAAAAATAGCTGTCCTGAAGAAGCTCAGTAAACTTCAAGACAACACAGAGAAGGAATTCAGAAGCCTATCAGAGAAATTTAATAAAGAGATTGAAATAATTTTTAAAAATCAAGCAGAAATTCTAAAGCTTAAGAATTCAACTGACAAACTGAGAAATGTATCAGAGTCTCTCAACAGCAGAACTGATCAAGCAGAAGAAAGAATTAGTGATTTTGAAGACAGGCTATTTGAAAATACATAGTCGGAAGAGAAAAAAGAATAAATAAGAATGAAGCACACCTACAAGATCTAGAAAATACCCTCAAAAGAGCAAATCTAATAAGAGAAATTGGCTTTAAAGAGAAGGTAGAGAGAGAGATTGGGCTAGAAAGTTTACTTAAAGAAATAATAACAAAGAACTTTGCAAACTTAGATAATGATATCAATATTTTGGTACAAGAAGGTCATAGAACACAAAGCAGATTTAACCCAAACAAGGGTACCTCGAGGCATTTAGTCATAAAGCTTCCAAAGGTGATGAACCATATGATCAGACCAGGCACAGTGGCTCATGCCTGTAATTCTGGGACTTTGGGAGGCCAAGGTGGATCATTTCAGTCCAGGAGTTCAAGACCAGTCTGAGCAACATAGCAAGACATTATCTCTCCAAAAAATAGAAAAATTAGCTGGGTGTGGTGATGCATGACTGTAGTCTCAGCTATTCGTGAGGCTGAGGCAGGAGGATGGCTTGAGCCCAGGAGTCTGAGGATGCAGTGAGCTATGATGACACTACTGCACTCTAACCTAGGCAACAACAGAGTGAGACCCTGTCTAAAAAAAAAAAACCCAAAATAAAAAAAAAACAAATAAAAAACCCCATATGATCACTTCGATGGATGTACAAAATATGAGGGAACAAATAAAAATGCTTAACAGAATATTGGCAAAATTAATGTAGCAACATATAAAAAAGATCATATATCATATCATGACCAAATGGGATTTACTGAGAGATGCAAAGTTGGTTCAACATATGAAAAATAGGCCGGTCGCGGTGGCTCACGCCTGTAATCCTAGCTCTCTGGGAGGCCGAGGCGGGCGGATTGCTCGAGGTCAGGAATTCGAAACCACCCTGAGCAAGAGCGAGGCCCCGTCTCTACTATAAATAGAAAGAAATTAATTGGCCAAATAATATATATAGAAAAAATTAGCCAGGCATGGTGGCCCATGCCTGTAGTCCCAGCCACTTGGGAGGCTGAGGCAGAAGGATTGCTTGAGCCCAGGAGTTTGAGGTTGCTGTGAGCTAGGCTGACGCCACGGCACTCATTCTAGCCTAGGCAACAAAGCGAGACTCTGTCTCAAAAAAAAAAATATAAAAATATGAAAAATAACGCAATAACCCATACTACATGATTCTCTCAGTAGAGATGCATAAAAAGCATTTGACAAAATCAAACACCCTTTTATGATACAAACACTCAACAAACTAAGAATAGAAGGAAACTTCCTCAACATGATAAAGGGCATCTACAAAAACCTTCAGTTAACATAACATTCAATGGTGAAAGACTGAATGCTTTCCCCCTAACATGAGAAAAAAGACAACGATATCCACTGTCACACTGATATGCAACTTTGTACTGGAGATTCTGGCAGGGCAAGTAGGCAAGGAAAAGAATAAAAAGCACTGAGACTGGAAAAGAGGAAATAAACTATCTCTTTTTGTAGATGACATGATCATGTACCCAGAATATGTTAAGGAATCCATTAAAAAACTATCATAACTAAAGTTGGCAAGGTTTCAGGATTTAAGATCAATATAGAAAAGTCTACTGTATTTCTACATACTAGAAATGGATAATCTAAAGGTGAAATTAAGAAAATAATTTCATTTAAAATATCATCCAAAAGAATAAAATAGGAATAAATTTACCAAGGAGGCAAAACACTTGTATATTAAAAACAATAAAATAATGTTGAGAGAAATTAAAGAAAATGTGAATAAATGGAAAGACATCCTGTGTTCATGGATCAGAAGAATTAATATAATTAAAATGGCAATACTCCCCAAATTGACCTACAGAATCAACACAATCCCCATCAAAATCTCAGCTGGATTTTTGGCAAAAATTGACAAGTTTATCTGAAAACTGATATAGAAATGCAAGGAACCTAGAATAGCAAAATACTCTTGAAAAATAAAAGCAAAGATGGAATACTCATACTTTCCATTTTCAAAACTTACCAAAAGCTACAGTAATCTAGGCTGCATCATACTAGCATATGGATAGACATATAGATCAAAAGAATAGAACTGAGTCCAAAAATAAATGCATACTATTTCAACAAGGGTACCAAAACAATTCAACAGGGAAAAGAATAGTCTTTTTGACAAATCATGATGGAACAAGTGGACATCAATGTGCAAAAAGTATTTGTACTCCTACCTCATATCATACATAAAAATTGCCTCAAAGTGGATCATAGGCTTAAAAAATGTAAGTGCTAAAACTATACAATGCTTAGAAGAAAACTGAGGTAAGTATGTTATCTTAGGTTAGGCAATAATTACTTAAATGTGACACCAAATGTACCCAAAGAGATGATAGAAAAATTTGACATCATCAAAATTATAAGATTTTGTATTAAAGAACTATCAAGAAAGTGTAAAGATAACTCACAGACAAGGAGAAATATTTGCATATTATATATCTGATAAGGATTGACATATAAAGAATGCTTATAACTCAATAGTAAAAAGACAGCCCATTTAAAAACTGACAAAAGATTTGAACAAAAACTTGTACAGAGAAGGCAAATGAATGTCTAATAAGTGCATGAAAAGATGTTCAACACTCTTAGTCATTAGGGAATTGCAAATCAAAACCACAGTGAGATACTATTTTATACTAACTAGAACAGCTATAATCAAAGAGTTATACAATAACAAATGTTTGCAAGGATGTGAAAAATCAGAACCTCATTCACTGCTGGTGGAAATATAAAATGTTGCAGCCACTTTGGAAAAGTTTGGCAGTTCCTCAAAATGTTCAATGTAAAATTACCATACAACCCACCAATTCCATTTATAGATATCTACCTAAGGGAAATAAAAACATATGTCTATTGTGGATTCTGAGAAGAAATCCTGTTTGCAGAGTAGAAAACACCAGGAACCTGTTTTCCCACCTAGACAACAATGGCAGTGGCAGAAACTGTCTGATGTAACTATTTTGAAACTCTGGAGTCTATTGAATGCTTGCAACTTCCAAGGGAAGGCTTGGAAGGTAAATTGTGGTTAATTTCTGTTGATTTCAGCTCTTAGCACAGGAGCATCTACTCATGCCCCCACTTCCCCAGGCCCACAGCAGGCATCTGTATATGTGTTCTGGGAGCACTTGTATGCAGCTTGCAGAGCCAGAGTGTGCAAAAAGTACCCTGTCCTACAAGCACTGGGTATCTATGCCCCAACTGCTGCATCTGATCACAGAAGTGCAGACAAAGAGGTGGTGGCCATTGTTCTTGCACCTCTCCCCACTGTTGCAAGACTCCCTCCAGCCCTATGGTACTTCCCAGGGAT